ATGATGTGACCCTAAACTTTCAAATTTGCAGAATGATCATCAAGGACTATTTTAAAGTCAGCAACAGTAAAATTTTGAAAGAAAGTTTTTGTATATAGCCCTGGTGGCGTGAAAACAGACATACTAAAAGTCGGTGGGGCTATTTGAGACAGGCTCGCTACCTAATGAAGCACACCGTAATGAATCAAATGAGCTAAAAGGTTTCCCAAAACATTTAAGTGAATGGTCTGCATGATTCCTTGTTCCATTGCACATCTTCATGCGAAGAAATAACGGAAAAATGTTAAGCGGTTTTGATTTTATGACGATTTTCCTCGATCGCTGCATGCTGTATCAATTGGCCGGCTACCCTACCACATCAAGCCTACTTGCATAGGCTCACCTAACAGTACGTTCATGTGTTAAGTAATCTTCAATGGTGTTTTTTGGTCAACCAAGGTAGACATGTGTTGATTGTCGACTAAGTCAGTGACTGATGAAGCACATTTTAAGCACATATTCATCAGAATAACTAGTTTGGTCACCAGCTAAAGGGTCATTATGTTACACTACGAACATGTAAATATTGCTTGCTGCTAAAAGTACCTACCATGAACCCACCGCAGGTTTATGACCACGACCGATTCATCGGTGTTGCTCATGTCGAACGTTCGATCCACTTCAAGTAAATGGTGGTAAGTCTTCTCGGGTGCCATCGCATCACCATTATCAGTAGCTGACTATTTGGCATATCGGCTGAGGTTTGACCAGGTGGGCATCATCGGGATTCTGAGACAATGGGTTACGCAATCGGCACTAACGTTAACAATGTATGATATTTTCATGAAAAATATGCTTAGTCTATAAGTAAAACGGTAGTAACGATAGATGCAGTGCCGAAGCTGTTAAAATTTCAACTATGTTAAGCGGCAGGTAGGGGTCCTTTTCGAGCAACTTAAATTGTGCGTTTTTCTGTATTTCGTATTTTACACCAAATTTCTTTCAAAACTTTTCGAAAATTTTTCAAAAAGTTTATTCAGGTATTCACTGCTCAATTCCACATCAGCCTAAGCAAAAATGACGAAAAAATATCAAACGGTTTTCATTTTACAGCGATTTTACTAAACCACTACCTTACTGTCTCAAATAGCCCCACTGTCTCAAATAGCCCCACTTTACGGTACTCGGTATGTGATACATATAGTTATACCCCTCGATTTGCCCTCGCGCTAAGTCTATTCTAATCATCACTGCCGCTTTTTTATCCGAGATGCTGTCGCCGCTAAACGGGTTGTTTTGTTTGCTTGCTTGCGCTGAATGGCCATTACAGATTATTGAAGGATTATGATAAAATAGGAATGAGGCAAGGGAGGATATACACTGCAGGTGTTTGATTTAGATCACAAAGGCATCATTTCAGGCATCGTGCAGAGTCATTATCTTCCCCTCCTCTGCACAGCGGCATCTCTGCGCCCCACACACTGCGTCCTCACTCCACGGCCGGCCGCCGCCAACTGACCCACTCGCCGGGCGCCGCGACCTGACCCGTGTCGCTGCCGCGGCCTGCGCAATAGAGTCGGGGCTGGAATCCGGGGGTTCGGCCGGCCGGCCGCCTCTGGAGCGGGGGACTTTTTTAGAAGACCTACTGTACTTTGGGTATCTAGTTTTGAGTGATCATGATTTCGGGGTTTTCGACCATTAATGGTATATGATAAGAAAATCGCATAGAATAAGAACGAACTTACCGACATGCAGTAACCGCCATTTGACTAATTACTTATCACAATCAAATGGCAATCTTTGCTTATTGATAATGCTTCTACAATTTACTACAAAGGCTTGAACTGAATCTTGGCAAATTCTCGCGACTACTTCACGACCATGATGCATGTATTTCTTAAATCTATTTTGTTCGCCCAAACACGTACTCCTGAGATGAAGTAAACATCTCCATCGTGTTCTACGCCTTTAAGTACTTACGAAACGTGGCATTTGCTGTGAATGCCGACTTTGATTATCGTGGATATGTTCTTACCTAGTTGACATCACCTTGACCCTGTCATGTGATTGACTGACCCCTGCACGAATTTATCACTCGTGCAGCACTTATGTTTCCGCCTGCGCTCCTCGCGTCGTCTTAAACGCATTGCTTCCAATTCGTGTCGCCAATTTATATTCAATGAGAATGTTGCATTGGCAATGGCGATGGCAATGCCATCTCGTAATGCAATGTGGCAACTGGCAATGGTTTCTGGAAAAGACCAGACAATCGTTACGAGAAGATACAAATGAACTCCGAGATAAATAAAACGAACCGAGAGGAAACAAAAGAGCTAGTCAACGCAATGATACAGCATGAATGCACGTCAACGATTTTAGTAAATAAAAGCAAGTCCTTACCGACTGTATCGCAAATCACAGCGCAGACAGGACGTGGAGATACTGCTAAACAATGTAGCGGCCAAAAACGGACATATTTACGTTACTCGCTTAGACGTTTTTAGTGAAATAAAGCTAAAATTACAATAGACAATGCAAACTTCATGAAAACAGCTTTTTTGCCCATTTTAGCTGAACAACAAAAGCAGCTTTCTGTTAAATTGCACAATAAACGCAAAATGCACATGCTTGTGACACCGACGGCGCTTGCACCCCGGGGTCGTGCTCATCTTCGGCGCCTCGGTATTGTGCACACGCACAGTTTTGACAGTTTATGATAGGAGACGCCCAGTACGAGGCTCTAAAATAATGACTCTGAAAGCGCTAATTCAGGTATTTGATATGACCTTGACCCCACCTGTGACGTCGATATTCAATTTTCAAGTACCCCTCTCACATCTGAAGCGTTTCGTCGCGTTCTTTTGTTTGCCGCCTCGCGCGTTTCGCTGCACCTATTGGTTCTCGAGATATCGGCTGCCCTCCGCCCCCCTCCCCCCCATCAAGTGGTGGCTGACGAAATACCCTAGCAACTGCATAGTGCCTGGTTACAGAGAAATAAAGTATGTGATGCTGAGGGGTATAAGTCCCGACAGGCAGATGTATCGTACTTTAGAGGGCCACCATTTGAAAAGTAGGCGATTTTGGGATGAATTAATGCGTTGGACTGGATATAGCATCTTCTACACGCTACACTGAACAACTTCGAAATTTTGGGAAATAACACTCCAAGTAGATTTGAGCAAATTACAAAAAGCGAAATTTTGACTTATCGGCAAATACAAACTTTTGTCTTCTTCCGCCGAACCTGGTAAAAAAAAAAATTCGAGGAGTTAAATCTCATAAGTGTTAAGCATTGCGCATCTTGGCGTTATGATTTCTGAGTGAACGACAACGCAGCCTCCGATTTATCGGTTTCTACTAGCTTTTACATTTATACTAGCTTCCGAACCGATTGAGAAAGAGCAGTGCTCGAAATATATCGCTTTTGTATTGTATTTTTGCCATTACAGTTTACTTAAAGGGACCATCCCACCTTAACATTAGTTTTGAGTTGAGATAGCCAAGTTTGCGGCCAGGCTCAGAAACCACCATTTATCCTGGTCGCAACCCCCGCAGCTTTATGGTGTTCAAGAAATTTCTTCCCTTTACTTGCAGGGTGGGACCAGCTTAGTCCCTATCTCTTAACCATTAGCGGTTTTTTGATGACGTCAGCAGTCATTTCAACGCCCGCCATTCCTTGAACCCGAGTTTTGCTGACCTTGAGCTCCCTTTTTTATCAACGTGAAATCCGTCGTCGGCGCTGAGAAAGCCTATTGCTTTTCATTTTAATTTGAATATTAGAAGATACCCACCACTGGAACTTGGACTGATATTATACCAAGGCCGAAGATGATCAAGCTGCCTGCTATATCTGGAGCTTGGTGTTCAACTTCAACATGGAATAAAAAAACAAAATATCAAAGCAAACTGGATATGGTACTGCAAGTTAAAGTCCTGTTGCGGTACGGTAACATTGTGCGTCCGGCGATCGTGGTTCCACCCGGCGCGGCGGCCGGGTGCACCGGTACTTTGAGCGCGGCTCGCGCGGCCGCTCCGCGCGGCCGCCGGCTCGGTGCGGGTGCCCGCATACGTCAAACGAGTGACCTGTCACGTGATAGACCGAGCCGAGATCAGGGTCTCCCGCCGGACGGTGTGTCAGTTAGTATTCGGTACTGACTCAGACACCACCTCCCGCCGACCTCTGACCGCCGCCCATCCGATAGCCAGGCCGATTGGTTTATGGTACCATGAAGGCTGGTATCCTCTGCTTTTAAAAACCTGGGATTTCGCTCCGGGTTTTTAAGCACTCATTTATTGTATCGTTAATTTTATTATCGTATGCTTTTGTTTGCCCGCACGTTTGCATAGCCCGCATATGGTCTAAAGGCAATACAGACCTATTTTGTATACATTCTTTCCGTTAAAGGAAATAGTTCACTTTCCTGAAATTAGTATTTTGCTATGGATTTATGTTTTTTTATGCTCAAAATGATCAGAAAATAAAACAAAACGTTTTTGTAACAAGGATTATTTTCTATATTTTAGTATAAGAAGAACTATATTCTATATAAAATAATGTTTGACGCGGAAGCTTATTACGCGTTGACCAATCATATTGCGTAGGACAAACCCATCGGCTGTAAGCAGCATTCTGTTTGGCTGACGATGACGTGACTGCATTCCTCAGCAAGGCACGCATTCCTCTGCAAGGCACTCTTTTCGGAACGAAAAATGGAATATCTTCGTCTAGGGTGATCGTTGGGCCGTAAAAGCTTCTGATTTGTGCTAGTCTCAGCACAAGCAACAAAACTGCTATTCCAGTTCCAAACCCCATGTTAAAAGTGAACTATTTCCTTTAAGGGGTATAACAAGGAGAACCGACACACGGGTATTTTGTACCTTCTTTGCTGACGTTAACATACAGTCCACGTTCTCTTACACGCAGCGAGCCGCCGGCAACATTTGGTCCTCCGGGCCGGATGTGCTCGCAGTACTAGAAATTTACAGGTGCTGAATAGCCAGAACCACCCATTTCATCCAAAATGAATAATAAGACGGGCAGTAACGTAACTGAGATTGAACAGTTGAAACTCAAACGCACTAGGGAGCGCACAAAGGCCACAAAGTTAACAAACGAGTTAAAGTCCCTATACACACAAGTCCGTGGTGATAGTGACGGCATCGCGCGGGACGAGCTCGACTACAACATCGAGATTGGAGAGGGCCACCTGGAGGTGCTGGAGAACTTGGAGTCGGAGCTGAAGGCGCTCGGCGTTGAAGATGAGTCGGCGCACATCGCAGACCTCCACAAGGCCATCGGTCTCGGGAAGCGCCTCCTGACGCGGACAGAGCAAGCCGAAGCCGCTCCAGTACCATCCGCGCCTCCGGCGATGTTCAAGCTGGACATCACCGTGCCCAGGTTTAAAGGTGACCTGCTGGCCTGGCCGGAGTTCTGGGAGATCTTCGAGGCCTACGTTCACACCAACAGGGGTTACTCCTCTGTTCAGAAGCTCTGCTTCCTGCGTCAACATCTCGATGGACCTGCAGCCCGTGCGATCCAGGGACTACCACTGACAGCCGATAACTACATGGTGGCTGTGGAGATCCTCAGGGAGCGGTTCGGGAAGGACGACATCCGCAAGGACTCTCTCATCACTAAGCTTTTGAACCTGCCGGCCGTCACCAGCGCGGACAACCTCAAAGCTCTGAGGCGCTTGGTGGACGAGGTGACGACAGGTGTTCGCTCACTGGAAGCCATGAGGGTGCCGAACATCGGAAGCGTCCTGCTCCCGGTGCTGAAGGGAAAAATTCCCGCTCCCTGGAGGCTTCAATGGGCCAGGCAAAGGCGAGGCCAGCCTACGGGAGACCCGTGCAGCGAGTTCGCCGCGTTTCTCCAATTTCTTCAGGCGGAGGTGGAATGTCAAGAGGAGTCAATACAATTGACCTGCACCAAGGCGAGTGAGGATACGGACCCACTCGCGCTGAAATCAACAACCAGTGTCCTTCATGCTCAGAGGGTGCAGGGGCAACCATCAAGATCGTGGATATGCACAGTCTGCAAGCAAGATCAACATCGTCTTGACAGATGTGCTCGCTACCAAGAGATGTCAGTCGACGATCGCTGGAGGATCGTTAAAAGATCCGGGGCCTGCTTCAAGTGTCTGGGTCGACACTACATCAAAGATTGTAGGAGCGGCACGTGCAGACTGTGCCACGGCCCTCACCACACGTCCCTCCATCGCGATCAGACACCAGCAGCAGCTCCGACGCCCACTTCAACATCAGGCTCCTCCCATCTTCGGACCGAAATGCAGCCTGCAGCAGCATCACGCGCTGTGCAGCTGCAACCAGACGACCCAGGTCAACGGCCCGGCAACTGCTTTCCTGACACCGAGGTCAGGAACAATCCCCATCAACCAAGACATCGTTACAACATCCAGGGCAACAAACGACCCTGCTATTTGCAGACAGCACTTGTCGAAGGACACGGACCCAAGACTTCGAGGATGTTGAGAGTGCTGTTGGATGGAGGCTCCGACGCATCCTACATCAGGAGATCAGTAGCCGAGGAACCGGATCTCCCGGTGATCGGCTCCGGCACAATCGAGTGTGCCGGGTTCCAAGAGCGAGCCAAAGAATCACAACGTCCATCACAGCAGGGTCTCCAACAGAAGAAAAAGTGTGATCTGGACACACCCCGAAGTCCGCCAACTGATGAGGCCCCTTCTCAGGAGCCACAACCGGTGATGCAGCCACCGGAACTGGAGCTGCGACCGTCCGAAAGGCCTTCTTCCAGGTCGTGGAAACGGCGTCGCAAGGCTCTCCACAGAGCAGCAGCCATGAACGACGGGCAACCGGCCAAGGCATCACGTCTGCATGGTGGGGAGGTCATCAGGCCGCAGCCTGCCAGTAACCTGATGACGGTCAGTGACAGGGGCGGATCCAGAAAATCTCCAAGGGAGGGGCCATTAGAAACCAGGAGGCCCCCCCATAATCCCACCTGTTGGAGGCCCCATCTTCCCACTTGTTGGGCCCCCCCCCAAAAAAAAAACTGCGTCTATTGAGCTTATCTAGCTGTTCAGGCAACATCTCAACATCTGTGCAGGCTTGGAGGCCCTCTGTGCAGGTTAGGAGGCCCTGTAAAAGTGGTCATCTCTGTGAGTATAAGAGACCTCCAAGTTATGAAAAGCTTTACCAATCTTCTAACAAAGAAGTCTTCTCAGCTAGTCTTCTAAGAAATAACTAAGTGGGTAGGTTAAAAAAGAAAAACTCATCGGATTTCGGCCACTTTATTTTCAGGAGGCCCCCTTTTCAGCTTTTTAACTTTTTATTTTATTTTTGAAAAAAAATCGGCCAAGGGGGGGGGCCATGGCCCCCATGGCCCCCCCTTGTATCCGCGCCTGGTCAGTGAGGCGGTGCGGCCACCGGAGCGCCAGTGCCGTCTACAGCCTCCCCAGCCTCCAACGCCGCCGATGACCCTCGAACGAACACCATCCCAGCCAAGGAGAGTGACGTGCTGCTCGACAAACTGGCCGTGGAATATCGAGGGTGTGCAGTACCCAAAGAGGAGATTCTGCCACTGCTCTACAGGCCCTTCAAATGACACCTGCCACGAGTGCTGAGCCCTATGATGTTCTTCTACATTGGTTTGCTCATCACCAAGTGAAACACTAAAGTAATGATTGCGAACCACCCGTGAACCAGTTCATTGTTTTTCTGTCCCCTGTCATTGCCCTTTTGCAAGATTCTGTGTCGTTGGTTTATCGCTCACATTTTGTCAAATTTTGTCGACAGAGTTGCCTCATTTCCTTTCCCGGTCGGAGCATGAGGAGGTCGCTCACTGGCTCCGGTGCCGGGCTGTTGAGATGGTGAGGCCCGAGCTAAGTGGTTCGGCCGCCATCTGCACCGCTCGCCGGCCATCCGTTGTCCACTGGACGGCTCCATCGGGCCAGCTCGAGGCTTCCGCCAAGGCTGAGTGGTGACACGATCACCAGCCGGCGCTGGTGCTGCGCGACTGCTTGCGTTTGGTCATTCTGAGACCTAATCAGCCGCAGTCGAGTGAGCGTCGCGAGTGATCGAGCGAGTGCCAGACAGTGGTGTGCGAGGAGTGTCAGATTTTTGTTTCGTGTTGAGCGACGTGTCTTTGTGTTGTGTTTCGGGAGTTCGAAAATCGCAGAAGCCTGCGATTTTCGGGTGGGAAGAATGTCGCGGAATGTTGCGATTAACGCTCTCCGTCCGGCGATCGTGGCTTCACCCGGCACGGCGGCTGGGTGCACCGGTACTTTGAGCGCGGCTCGCGCGGCCGCTCCGCGCGGCCGCCGGCTCGGTGCCGGTGCCCACGTATGTTAAACGAGTGACCTGTCACGTGATCGACCGATCCGAGGTCAGAGCCTGCCGCCGGACGGTGCGTCAGTTAGTATTCAGTACTGACTCGGACACCACCTCCCGCCGACCTCTGACCGCCGCCCCATCCGATAGCCAGGCCGATTGGTTTATGGTACCATGAAGGCTGGTATCCTCTGCTTTTAAAAACCTGGGATTTCGCTCCGGGTTTTTAAGCACTCATTTATTGTATCGTTAATTTTATTATCGTATGCTTTTGTTTGCCCGCACGTTTGCATAGCCCGCATATGGTCTAAAGGCAATACAGACCTATTTTGTATACATTCTTTCCGTTAAGGGGTATATCGAGAACTGCACAGCCTCACAGGTATCTTGTACCTTCTTTGCTGACGTTAACATACCTACAGTCCACGCTCTCTCGCACGCAGCGAGCCGCCGGCAACAAGTCCAAAGAAATTTGAAGAGCTGACAATTGACATTAATTCTTTTCCTGCAAGGTTTCCATATGGAGATCACAGTCACACCATGAAGAAATATTTTTGATGTTAACAGTTGAAAGGGGATTTATCTTCCAGTTTTGACGAAAGACGCTGCTGACTGTCTTTGGAAAAGGATGTCGGGATGAGGTGCAATTGTGCTTGTGAAGTGGTTATAACTGGTCTTTTCACAGTATTAAATTAAATGTGCCATTGCAGCCAAGTGTGTTATCATGTAAGGTAAAATCAAAACTACAATGTTGGTTTTACGAGCATTGAGAAGGCTGGTATGTAACACCTGCCTGTGCTCGTAAATCATGCTGCCAGAGTATTCTAAATTAATTTTATCATACAATTTTGTTGTCCAGAATGGTTGCACTATTGTTTGGTATCATATTATTCCAGAAGGCTGGTATGTAACACCTGCCTGTGCTCGTAAATCATGCTGCCAGAGTATTCTAAATTAATTTTATCATACAATTTTGTTGTCCAGAATGGTTGCACTATTGTTTGGTTTCATATTATTCTCTTGGAGGGTCTGCAGTCATCTGGAAAGCTCTTCGCAGACGATGCTAAAGTCTACAGGAGGATAAGGAGCCCCAATGACAGGATCGACCTCCAAGAGGATATCCACCGACTGCAACTATGGACCAAGAAGTGGCTTCTGAGCTTTAACGAGGATAAGTGCAAAGTAATGCACTTTGGGTCCAATAACCCAGGATACACATACATGATGGGAGGTGTATGCCTTGATACATCTGCAAAAGAAAAAGATCTGGGAATCGTCATTACACCGGACCTCAAGGTCTCAGAGCAAGTGACCAGAGCAGCAGCAGCAGCGAACTCCATGTTAGGAAGAGTGAGGAAAACATTCACCTACATGGACAAGGGAATGTTCCTGCCTATTTACAAAACCCTGGTGCGCCCCCACATGGAGTACGCCATACAAGCCTGGTCCCCGTTCCTCCAAAAGGATATCATGAAGCTGGAGAGGGTTCAGAGGAGGGCTACGAAGCTCGTCCCTGAACTCGCCGACCTTCCGTACCCGGATCGTTTGAAGGAACTCCAGCTGACAACACTGGAAGAGCGAAGGATCAGGGGAGATATGATTGAGGTATACAAACTGATGCATGGGCTCGACAAGGTGAATGCTGGAGAGGAGTTCCTGAGAATGGAAACTGGTGCGAACATGCAGAGGACGCGGGGACATGCACTCAAACTACAGAAGCCAAGACACCGGCTACACAGGCGGAACCAATTCTTCACTTCGAGAGTGGTGGACCACTGGAATCAACTACCATCTGAAGTTGTACTGAGCAAGAACACCAATACCTTCAAAAACAGATATGATAAGCATGTCCGTACACTGAGAAGAGGCAGCATCCCATGAGCAACCCGCTCCCTTTGCCTCTTTCCTTTCTACTCTACTTTGGTAAGCATGTAAATATGGTAGTGTAAAGTCCGACCAACATGTTACCAGATTTGAAGCTGTTACGTTACCTAAGTACCTGTTTTTTACTGGCGTGGTGAATGTCACCTGGATTTTGTTTTGAGGTGCAGACCTAGTAACTCTGACTACATGGGTTTGAAGCTATTATCTATTCTGTTTTTACTGGCCTGGTGAATGGCGACTGATGTCCGTGGATGGCACTGAAACAAATTTTGAGTGTTTTGTACAGTGTTTTAATACAATGCTGAGGGCTGAAAGTTGTCTTGTTTAGAGTGGTGAAAGTTCAGGATATGCCAGCCACCATGGTCGGTCAGAGTTAAATGTGTTGCAGTCAGTTCGGCTTCGGCAAGCACACGGATGGGCATACGCATCAAGACCTGCTCTGCCATACTTTCAGCCAATTTTACCTAGGTAAGTCTTTTCTTTTTTCTGCCAAAAGCTATGACATTGTGAATTTCAGCACTGTGGCCTGTGTGTAGCTTTCAGGAAAGCAATTCTAAATAAAGCTCTGATAAAGTGCAAAATCAGCAATGCAGCCCTCTATTACATTTTCTACAACATCTTACTTGTTCCTTGCATGGAGAGAAAAATGCAATGTTATGAATTCGTTTATTCACATAATTTGACAAGCATGCAGTTACCTGCTACTATCACTGCACAAAACAGAGCAGAAAACATCAGTTGATCAAACACAAGACATAACAGAAGTTTACAACATAGGGCTGCCGAACCTGCTTCCTCCCACCACAGTTGATGCCATTTCCTAGCCTGGCTTGATGTGAGCACTGAATAGCTGCTTTGTCTAATTACAGCTCACTACCATTCAACTTAAACTACTCTCTTTGAAGTAAGAGTGAGAGCGTTCAGTGTTCATAGCAGCTGGACAGACGACAGACAACAAACATCTTGACAAACCAACCAGTATTTGATTTGGCTAATGATTTATGTGCTTGTTGTATCATGGCCAAACTACTTTAACAGCAATAATCCCTGTTTCATCTTGATCTTGCTTTTATTTCCATTTGAACTCAGATCTTGAAACAATCATCTGAAGTGATATCAGATACTGGCTTCTGTTTCTCTTGAAAGCAAGTTAAAACAACAATGATAAACTAAGGCAGGAGATGTGAGTTGTGGCAGTAGATTTTTGATTCAACATATGTCAACCTTATATTGCTTGAGACCTCTGTGACAGACAAACAAATATTTATAGTTTTTTGATAGTTTGGATTCTTGGCTTGATTTAGCAGATCAGCTGTGAACCTTGACTTTGAAATCACATAAATGTCATGGTACCCGAACGAATCCTCTCATGACATTTCTTCGTAGCACAATTTTTCGTCCGCATTTCTTCGTCTACAAATCTTCGTCGGTGCATTTATTTGTCCCTCAATGCTTACTCTTGCATATATTTGCGTTGAAGAAGAAATGCGAGCCGATTTTCATATACCCTGGTGCGAGACAAAGTAATGCGATAG